GGCAGTCCCCAGGTAATGTGCCCAGCCTGCCTGCTCCTCCGCCTGCCTGAGGAGCAGCAACAGCCCACCCCTGCAGGCAGTACTGCTGCCTGCCTACTGACAAATCTGGAGAGCTGTATCCACTAGATACAGGAGCCTGGCCTTGCTGGGTGTGTGGCTGCTGGCTGAGCAGGGGCTGCGCAGGCAGTCGAATAGGATTTTGCACACTTCCGGGCTCAGGGCAGGGTTCGCAGGGGGGCGAGAAGAGGTGGCACATAGAGGTGGCCAAGGGGATGGGGCGGGGAGAAGTTCTGTGGTGAGAGGAGCTTGGTTGGCGGTGGAGGCAGTGGCTGCTGCCACCCTGCTGATGCAACCGCTTCCAGTTCACATGCAGCCGCCTTTGCCGCTGCAGGAAGCCAAGTGCTGGGAGCCCTGGAGCACCGTGGGCCCAGCCAGCACCCTGCCAGTGCTGAGGAGACTGGGCAGCGCTGCCCTGCACTGGGAGTGAATGGCTGGAGGACTGCTGGGCATTGAAGGAAGCCAGGAGTAGGGGAAGGAGGAGGCTGAAGAGGAGGCACTGCAGAGATTGACATACGCCCTGGAGCCCCACTGCTCATCATTTCTAGGGGTTTGGGGTCTTTAAAACCATTAGGGGAAAATAATAAACAAAAAGAGATTTAAAAAAAAGAAACCTTATGAGACCACGGACATGTATGCAGTCGGATGTTGCCCAAACGGACGTTAAGCAACGCATGACTATACCGGTAATCCAGACAGTAAATTGACATTTGTTGTCAAAGAAAGATAAAAATTGCATATGTGTTCAATTTAAGAACTCACCGAAGAGTATGTACCATATAATCCCAGTAAAATAAAAAAGAATGTATGTGATTGTACAGAAAAAAAGTGAAAATATATATCAAGATTTCAAAATCAGTTAGTATCAGATAGTAGAATCTAAGCAACTATTTTCTTGGTTCTAATCTTCAATTTCTACTTCTATAAAAAGCATGCATTCTTGTGTATTATCTAAGACTTACATATTTCAAGAACAATTATTTCACAGATTAAGCCACAACATTTAATGCAAGAAAGGAAAGTAGAGGAGGGCTTTAGACTGGATAATCTCAGGGATAAACTGAATCTTTGTATTTGGGAGGAGTAGGGATTAGCAAAACTCTTCAGAAGCTCAATTTCAGAGAATTCTGAA